TATGTTCAGAATTCCCAACAACAACTACTCTACCCCAAAAAAAGAGAAACATTTAAAAAAGTCATTTTTTTAATCTTCTCAAAAAGTTATATTCCCTCTTCAAGTTTACATCAACATTTAGCATTATCTCCAATTTTACGATTTATTCTCATAAATTTTTCAATGCAAATAATTTATGAAAAGTGATTAAATATAAATAAAACAAAAATGTAACAATAAATATTGATGCAATTTTTTTTTTGCCTGTTTTAATTAAAAGAGCAATAAAATAATAAAAACTTGCAGAAGTTAATTCATATACTTATGAAAGATATACTAAGTAAATAATGATAAAAAAGAAAAAAAATAACAAAGATTGAATAACAGGTTAGAATTTAATTTTCATTTTGGCCTGAGGATCGGGAGTTCCGGAAGAATGTGAGAGGCTAGTGTGGCCGTTATGGCAAAGTTAGAAGTTAGTTACACAAGGGGTTTCTCTTCATCTGCATATCCGCACCCTTTCCAGTGAGAGCAGCCTTCTCTACTGTCTTTGTCGTCAGTCTATCTCACTCCCTCTTGTTATTTAGCATCTTCCTCAGTATGCTCATTCAGTCTCGCTTACTCTCATACCTCCCTCTTGGTGTCGTTTACCACCCTCTGCCACCCACCACCAACCAGACCGCCAACTGTTCAACAAGTGGTTCTTCAGTTTAGCACCTAGCTTAGCGCTTCTTTAATTTTCACCCTTCAACTCGAGAATTCCGGCTTATCCACTCGGTCCTTTGGCTCACCTGATATCCTTCCTCTTAACATTGAGTATCTTCAAGGTCTCTGAATGAAGAAAAGAATAAAAAAGAGAAGTGAAAGAGCATTTTTCTCACGAATTGCAAATATTTCTCAATATACCTAGTTAGAGTATAAAAAAAGTCCACTTAATATCATCGTCATCAGAATAAGATCCTTGATATGTTTTTTGTCACGAGAATGCTTATTTAGAATAAAACCAAAGTAGTAAGTAGGTGGAGTTGTCTCAGGTTCGAAATAAAATACTGGCAATTGTGTAGCATCACTTCCGGGTGCCGCCCCAAAAACCAAAACACAAATAACATTGTCCTGATGCCGCAGACAGCAAAGGTATTCTTGATAGAGAAAGGGTCCATTGCTGGTGAGGTTTTCATCTCAAGTCTAGCGGTACCCTAATATATAACGATAGTGCTTGTTTAGTTTGGGATAAAAAGCCAATGAGCCAGTGTGTGAACCAATCTACATGTCAATAGGATAATGGTAATTGGGGGATGCACCGTTATTGAGGCATATATGTATGTAGAGAAGTTCTACAAGAGCTCTGCTGTCCTCAACTCAGATATGCATACAGTTAAGCCTCAAAATCTATTTTGATTCAGAGTGATTTGCAGCTTTCTTCAGAATCTGCAAATCAATATAAACTTGAAAAGTTTCAAATAAAAGTTGGATTATATTTTAAAAGTAGAATTAAAGTGGAAGAGTATAAGAAAGAGAGAGAAAGCTTTTTCAAAGCTTCATGGAATTAACTTGAAGGAGTTGACGATAGGCTTTTGGTAATTGGATATAAAATGTATATTTTATCTTGGTTTTTTTTTCGGTATGTTTAGAAAGTATGTGTAAAAACATGAGTAGCACACATGAGAATCGATGTGTATTGCCCCTTCTCTTAAGAAATGTGTGTTGTATTGGAAAAAAGAGTGAAGCGCAGAATGCACTGCGCAACTTTCTCACTCTCTTCAACCCTCTTTCTCCTTATAGTCTGGAGACCACTACTACCCGCTCTGCTTTCTCCTCTCGTGAAGTCTTATTATTTCCATTTTTCCAATTCTAGAAGCTTGCGAGGGATGTGGTGGAGAAGGCGGCGGTCGTGGAGGGTAAGAGGGTGGCATTCACCTATCCCGCAGAAAATATCTATATTTATCTGTTTCTTCGGAGTGTGCACCCCCTTCTTTTTCTTTCTTTTTCTTCATTTTTTCTCGTTTTTGTCCATTTTTCTTTCATCTCGTCTTACCCCTCTCTTTCCAACGTCTTTTCCTACACTTAGAAAGATTGTTGGTCTTCCTCTTTCACGTTTTTATATGACTGCGTGCATCTTCTGTCTTGCTTGAACGTCCCGCGCAACTTGCCGTGTATGTGGGCGACGGAAAAGAAAGTAAAAGGAATGGAAAGAGTAGGAAAAGACGACGACGAAGAAGAAGACGACGTCGACGGAGGCGGGCGGCCGCGGCGAAGCGTGCGCGCCTTTCCTTGGCACCCGCGAGGAGAGAGCGGGCCCGGCTTCCGCTTCCTTATGCTCTGCCGCGGACTGCATCAACCAGTCGCGCGGTTCGCCCGGTCGCGCTCATATAAGAACCCTTCAAAAAGGGGTCCAAGACGAGAGAGGGTGGCGGGCTCTTTTTCTTACCTCTTATTTGAGGCTTTATATTTTTTTCAACATCATCAATCAGTTAACAACACACCGCAATCCAGTCTCAACAGCCATCTTACAAATTAATAAACATTCAACTCTTCAAGATCCTCAAGTAAATTAAACGAACAATCGATTTTTTATTGACTAAAAAGTCAAAGATCGAGAAAACGGTGTGGAAATTAAATTATTCTGATCTTTTTATTCGAAAGAAGATTTGGAGAAGTGGATTTAAATTTTCTCTAAAAGAATTTAAAAGGGTTCCTTCATTCCGCGTGTCTTCCATCGGTTGAACACGCAGCAAGGCCTACCTCGGACCAGGAAGACTGCGTGCTCGGTCGGCCTCTAAGGCCGCCGGGCTGGTCCCATCAACATCCACGTGTCGTCATCCTCGGGATGCCCGGTTATCAGCAACCATCATTTAACCATTTGTTGCAACACACTAAAGACTTTCGTCATCATCTCCATATGAAGATGACGAAGAGGGTGTGTAAGACCGTCGGACCGCAACCGTGTCTCAGGATGTGCGGACGCTTGGAATCGATAGAAGATTCTAGTGCAAAAATAACCACTGGTGTACGTTAACATAATTGAAGGAAATCATTGGAAGAGATAAATATAAATGGAAAGAAATTAATAAAAGAATGCTGGAGTCAACCAAAGTTCCTATTTTTCACTGTAACATTTAGTCTAAGGAAAAAGGTCATTGATATAGACTCGAAATAAATAAGCAGAAAGTACAATAAATACACCACATTGAAAACCTCGTGGCTCTGCTCTCCCGCGTTAATTAACCAGCCAATTAGAAACGGCCCTGCGTAATGAATTGCGCGCGCAAAAGTTCCTAAAGCAAACTACTTTTAAATGTAATTTTTCAAAATAATACTTTAAATACGGATCAAAATATATATTTAAAATATTTTATTGTGTAGATTTTATCAGCATAAAATTATACTTGAAAGCAATTACAACTAACACTTAATAAATAAATAAATGAAAATGTGTGATTTTTAAATAGTAAAAGTGGATAATTCATGACTGATTGAAGTATTATTAATGAGTGTGGTTTTTTACAAATGGTTTTGATTATAAAATAAGAAACAAAATAAATTCAAAGTCTTTTGTTAATCTTAATAAGACATAATTAAGCAATTTTAATAAAATAATAATAATAATGAAAAAGTGCTGTTCTAATAAACATAATAAATAAAGTAGATAAATTTTAATTTAATAAAAAAGATATTAGTTTTAAAAGACTTGAATATATATTAATGATACATTTATAAATATAAATTGTATATTGATCTTGAAGTTTCGCCAAGCGATCTTCAATTTTCATCGAAGGGCGTAAACCGCAATTTTTTATATATTAAAAAAAGTGCATTTTCCGGCAGTTTATAGTGTTTTTCTCTGTTTTAATTTTTTATTTCATTTTTTTATATTTTCTTTTTTTTTATTGAGGTTGAAACATTTTTTATTATATTTTTTTTCCTCAAAAATCTTCGTTGAGAAAAAACACGTGATTGAGAGAAAAAAAATGTCGAGTGTGAGTGTTGTATCTAATTCGTCGGTCGAAGTTGACAGCGAGTCATCTAACGACGTAACATCATGTAAAGACACTGTTGAAGAGCCTACAGAAGATTGTGAACAAAAGTTTATTTTACCAAATGATTTATATAAAAGTCTACTTGCAAGTGCTGTTCTCGGCAAAACTGTATTAAATCGTAATCTTCACTTTAAAGAAAATCTTGCTAATTTCAAAGGCAACCTCAATGCTTTTGGTGCTTTAAAAGATCTTAAAGATCTCAAAGGCTTGACTGTTAGTAGTGTGCCAGCATTTCCTAGAAATTTAGCACTACATCGTGAAGATAATGACGAGGTTAGATAAGACCAATCTTTTGACATTTTTTTAATAATAACATAAACTTGCAATTATTTAAATTTTTACTAGAAGTTTTATCACATGTTTTCATTTATTTTTTAAAAACATTTTAAATAAATTATCTATTTAGTATTAACAGCTATTTTTTAGCAGTAGTCAGCAATAGTTTTTAGTGAATTAAACACTTCAACGATAAAGAAATATAAGCTACGAATTCTACACTAGCAATTCTCCAATATATCTTATTAATGCATTAAAAATTCATGTGTTTAATAACTAAACATTTAAATTATTTACAATTTTAAACTCCATAAACAAATCATAGCAGCTTTGTGGATGAATTATAAACGTTTCCTGTCGTTTGCCAGAATGCTATAGTTTGTTTATAGTGTTCAATTGTAAACACTTGGTTGTTTTATTCTTAAACACTTTAAACCTTTTATTACTGAACATCTTAGATTTGCATTATAATATTAATAATTCTTTACTAATTGTTTTTGTTTTTAGAAAAAATAAAATAAATAAACTTTTAACACTTTGGAGTGTTTTGAAATTTAAACTGCATTGGAATTTAGAATTTTCAATTGACTTTCATTAATAATTGGTAATAATAATTGATCCATTTATTCATAAGTTGAATATGAAAGTAGAAAGAAATAGTAATTTAGAAATAATCGAACAGAGCAATTGGCATAACAATTAATGCAGTATCCGTCAAATTTATACTTCCAGAAAGCCTCCTTCGCGTGGTCAGAAGGGCCAGAAGACGGAGGAGGTGGTGGAGGAGGCGGAGGAGGTGTCGGAAATACTCAAACTGCAACAGGAAATGGGACAACTGGTACAGGAACAGCTACCCCTGGAACTGGTGGAAATAGTGGACTGGCCCATTGGGTCAGTGTTATGGCAGAACATATTCACAATCCTCATTCAGCGACTGGTGTTGGTGCAGTACATCATCAACAACAATCACCTCCCCAACCACCATATCCATGGAATAATGGACTCTCCAGTGATGTAAGTATTTACAGAGAATTTTTTTATGAATCATTTCTTTTTTATTCCAGCTTAGTAACGATGAAAATAACTTAATAATTTTTTGTTGACGTATCTAGCCTTTTATTCAGTCGAATAGCTTTCTAAAATGCTTGAATACACTGTCATGATGATAATGATGATCAAACTAGTGTAGATGTTGAAAAAAAAAATAGTAGCAAAAATGGAAATATAAAATCAGAAAGGGTAAAAGTAGCAAAGGGAGATGACGAAGTTTTTTTTTCTTTCTTTCATTTTCTCTTTGCGTCGCGCTCACTGGTGCAACTAAAACCAAAACCTAGAGAAAAAAAATGAAATGAGTGAAAGAGATCCGCAGTAGTTCTAAACAAAAAATATAAAAAAAAGGGACTAAAGAGAAAAAAAGATTATGTTTTGATTTTTTTTACTTTTATTTTATTCACTATAGTATACTAGTTTCTTTTACACTTTATTCACTTCTTTCGTCCTTTGCTGCCGTGTCTCTACAATTCGAACTCGGACTCTACTAAAGAAAAACATTACGCTCAAATTTTAATAATAATTTCGTTCTTAGTAATTAAGTAGAAAAAAATACGTGAAAATCATATTTAAAATAAACATTTAATCGTAGAATTACTTTAAAGTTTTAAATTATTTATCATCTTTTGATGTCTGCATAATTCGAACTCAGACCTCAACAAAAGGATTACATGAAAATTGAGAAAGGAAAAGATTTACTTTGTCACGAGTATGCAAAAAAGGTAAGAAAGAATGAATTTAAAATAAGACTTGAACAAGATAGGGATTGTATATCGTATATGTGCATCCAAATTTTAACGTCAAAATCTACTGTCATTGGGAGAAAAAAAAATACAAAACGGAAATATAGGAAGACATAGAAAAAAGAGGAAGGGAGTTTATAGTGACAACAGAATTCTTCATAGAAGCATCATTTTACTTTACATTTTTTTTTCAATTTTTTACCCTTTGAAAGATGCTCATTTGAATAGATATAATTCTAGGTGGTAAAAAATTTTTTTCCATCCCAGTTTTAAAAACGTGTTTATTTATGAGTTTTGATGGTCCAGTACAATATGACGTGCTTGGTCATGAAGAGGACTCGAATCTTTTAAATTCCTTTGTCTTCGAATTTCCTAACGGTGCAAGGCTTCCTGCTTGATTATAAACCCCAGTATTTTTTGCACCTTCCTCACTTTTTTTCTTATGGCTTTTTTAATCTGCAATATTCAAATTGTTTTTTTCTTTGTTTTATTTCATCCTTTCCTGTTCCGGTTTCTCGAGATACTAATCCTTTTTTTCTAATTTTTTTTTTAAATTTCAAATGCACTAGCAGATGTTTTTATGAAATTAATTATTTCCAGAATTCATAGTCAGTTATTTCATTGCGATTAATTCTAATTTCTTTTTTTAACCGAACTTAATTTTTTATAGAAAAAAAAATGCAAATTGAAATTTTTTTTCTTGACATTTTTTTAAATTTATTTTTGATGACTCTATAAATGTAAAAAATCAATGACTAGTCACTTATGAGTAGGTTGCAGTCATAATTCACCCTTTGAATGTCCTTTTTGTCCTGTTGTGATAGGTTTTTTATTGTTTCCTCCAATTCTCCAATCGACAAATACATATCTTCCAAGTTCTCAGAGACAAAGAAAGATATTTTTGCTATAACCATTGGGCCGGTTACCATTGGTGTCACAACATTTAACCTCGTTCGAAAATTATGGGACTTCTCCACCTTTTTTTCTCCTTACGACACATTAAAACACCCTTCGACACCCCTTTTTATTCCAATATCTCCATCTTCCTTTTTTCTTGTTCACTTCTTGTTAGTCCGCGAATTTTTTATTTCTGTATCCAAGCTCACTTATAACGTAGCCATCCACATGGAAAACTAACAGCCACCCCTTCATTGCCACCCTTTTCTTTTTGTACGCACTAGCATAAGGAATCAACCAGAAATTACAAGTTTCATTGACTCAAAACTTTTTTTTATAACCCTTTTAAAATTACAATGTCATCCCTAATTCAAAGGAAATGTTATTTATTGACTCGTGAATTTCAAATTATCTACTATGATTTTTTTATCATCACACTAACGATTTTTCTTTACTCATCAAATTACATTGCGGTGTCATTTGTTTTGATAAAAAAATTATTATTACTTTATCGATATATAATATATCGTTTTTACAATTCTCATAAAATTAGACAATTTTTTTTATTCACTAAAAAACTAGGGATGAATCTTTTTTTTATATTAAAAAAGAAGTTTTAAATCTACCGAAAATTAATTAACCTCTTTCGGAATATAATAATATGCCATTGAAATAAAAACGGTTGATTCACATGGAAAAAAAAAAAATGTGAAAAAAAAGTAAAAAAAAATTTTGAAACGGTTTTCACCCCCTGGTATTCATCGGCATTCTCTCTTAAACAATGACTTGGCTCTTTTTACCCGCGAAAAATGTCGTTGGTTGATTTGCATTTCTTCCTTAAATGATAAAAAAAATTGATCACGGTCGCTTAGAAGAAAAAAAAGTGGTATAAGGAAAAAAAATTTTTTTTTTAGAATGAAGGGTTGAAAAAAAATTTTTTCATCCCTTTCTGCCCTTCTTCTCTCACACCTTAGTTGTAGTTAAATAGTCCAGAGGCCATTATTTTAATTTTAGCATAGCCATAGTATAAGTAGTAACGAGTAGTGGGGAGAAAATGAGGATGAGCAATGAGGCAATTCCTCTTTCTTCTTTTGCATAATCTTAAAGGGTTAGTTTTTTCAACTAAGAACTCTCTCACACCCTTTAGTAGTATCTGTACATAATGTTTAGCATTTTCAACTTTCACCCTCGACGTTATTTCCTTTTTATTTTTTTCAAGCCCCTCCAATCTTCTCCTTATACTACTCGTATATTCTTTCTTATGGGGGCTAGGTCTAAAAAAAATTATCCTAAATACTCTTAAGCGTTTTAAAGGATTATGCCCGCGGACGCGTAAAAAATCCAAAAGGGTTGACCACCCGCTGGGCATAAACTACATATTTTTGCCAACTATTTCTCATCAACATCATTTCTCTATTGCTTACATTATTTCCCAACATTGAATTTCTGCATTTTCAATTGTCTTTATTCTTTTCAACATACATATATATTCACTTTTTTTTATTTATTTACCTATGTTTATTCCTATTGTTTTTATTCCTTTTCAGTTGTTTTAAAAACATAAGCTTCTATTTTTTATAAAAAAATCTTTACGTACTTTGAAAAATTTACATTACTTCCTTTCTTTTTTTTTTTTTTTTAATTTCATATATCATTTCTGTCTGTGTTCTTCCTTATTATTTTATAGTAATATTTACGTAAGTTTTACGCTTTTTAAATTACAATTAGAGAATGTTTGTTAAATAGAATAATTTTTTTTTTTTTTTATCATCATAACGAAAATATCTTTTACATCTTCATTTAACGGTAATGAGTTTATATACACTAATTTAAAAGATTTTACAAAAACAAAATTACTTATTTAGTATAAAATAAATGCTTCCCTCATTTGCTAGGATTTTCTCATAATTTTAAACTTTTTCATCGCTTCAACTCCATGAAAATCTCAACTTCACATTTTTTTAAACGTTTAAACTAAATGCATTCCAACAACTGCATTTGACATGACATTTGACATGACGTAAGGATTGAAAATGATATTTCAAGAGTAAATTTAATATGTAGGTCTATTAGAAGAGTCCTTGAAAAATAATAATAAAAAAAAAGAAGAAGAAGAAAGATGAGTGATAGAAGTGAGAGGATGAAGAGAGTTTTGGGTTTAGTTCTATAGTTTATACAACATCAACTACCATAGATGCAGATTAAACCAATTGTCTTGAACCTTACCATACTGAACCCTTACGTTAAAATCCTCCCTTCCATAATATTCTCTCGACTGGTCCAGTGATTCTCCACCACATAGGTGTCTGTCTTATGTCGTGAGAATCTCCTGATAATTTGCATATTGTGGATTATTTAAATTATTTTTTTTTTTATTGTCATACTGTCCCTTGTTTTTGACTCAACCTTAGTCCTCTATCTTCACTGTCTCGAGTACGCTTCCTATTGGTATTTAAATTCATTCTTTTCTCTCAAAGGGCGACAAACACACTCGTTGTGTTTCAATACCTTAACTATATAAGCAAAGATCCTAATTTTCGAGTTGAAAAAACAAACGCTCATGCTTACTTGTAATAAGATACTATTATTTCATAGGGTTGTACTCTAGTGGATGGGAAATATCTTTATAAAACAATTGATTAGTATTCAAACTATTCTCTATCTAAACTATTTAATAATAAAAATTATAATTATTACTTTTAAGTTGATGAAAAATTCTTTCTCAACATATCCTTTTTAAATGTATATTTAACTATAAATATTTAACTATTATTTATAATTAAAAATTCGAAAAAATATGTCAAAGGAAAAATTAATATTAATACGTAACGATGAAAATGAGCATATAATAAAATTATGCATTCTCTAAATCCTGCCGTAAGGTAAAAAAATGATGGCAGAATACAATAACAATTCCGGAGACGAGTTAAAAAGCCTTGCGGCGAGGATATGCGAAGCAAAAGATTTGAAGCAGGGTAGTTAGGATAGAAAGAGGGTGGTTGCGTTGTTATTACGTACATATATCTATATACATAGATACGTATGTACCCAGCATATCGCGTATAGTCGTAAAATGAAAAAAAAAGTTAGAGAAATAGACCATAATAAAGAATGCGCCATAGTCTCACGGTATTGTGTTTTAGCCAGGTAAGATAAAAGGGTAGTCCCACCTTCTGGAATACACATTAGAAGCCCTAGGAGTACAACTAAGTGTACAAGAGAGCTAAAAAAGTCAGCGGTGGTAGGGATAACAGCCCTGGAGAAGTGGATCTTCAACACCGGGCCATCCACCTAAGCAAAAAGAAAGGATCACCCCAAGTCGTG